ATAAAAAAAATATTAACTTATTAGAAGCTGATGATCATGAAGAATATGAAGAGGTATATATTAATAATGCACTATGATCTCAACTTTATAGTATGGGTCGTAAAGGGCAAAAAGAAAAACAAAGACAAGTAGAGCCTAAGTTATGCAAAATAGCATCTAAACCAACTATTGCTATAGAAACTCCAATGGACATAGAGAATAACTCTACACCACTTCTTATTAAAAAAATTATTAAAAAACAATTGCCGTTTATTATAAACCAACTTACCTCTTATGACATATTGAAATTCTATTAGCTATTCAAGCACACGTCATATATGATCAACTATTGCAATACCCTAACTAACATCATAACTTGGCTAAGCCTCTAAGATGGAAAAAAGCTCCTACTACCAAAGCTAATTATTTTAGCTCAAATAATTAATAGAAAACAGTCACTATGAGGTGTCATATGCGAATTAATAAAAACCGAGTTGTTGCTATTCTAGATTCAGATGCTGCTGTTAGTATTATTACTAACAATTTAATGAACAGGTTAGGATTGGAAATCAACAAACCTTCTAGAACAATTGTGATCATGGCAAATGGGAACTGCACTAAGGCTTTAGAAATAATAAGTTATGTGCAAATAGTTTTACAGAACATCATGATACTAATTGACTTACAAGTAATTGAGTCCCAAGAAGAAACTTTATTACTAGTGATGGATTGGTTCAACAAGTCTAAAGCAAAATTAGATTTTGATCAAAATACCTTAAGTGTAAAATACTTAGAAAAGCAAACTATCATCAATGTGACCCACATGACCAATAGTCTTGTGCCTCAAGAATTAGAAGAATTCAGAACGAAAAAAATTGGATTGATGAATTAGAAAATGATGATGAAATTTAAGAAGCTCTTTATATAAATGAAGCTACAGATGATAAATTGTATTATAACCTGTGGAATAATAAAAATCTAGCTGCATATTTGGCCAGATTTTTATTAGTACCTCAAGAGCTAAATGAAAGTTCTTTTGCAATAAATTCTGAACTGATGTCTGAACAACAAAGTCAAGCTACAAACCTGTTATTGGAATATACATCAAGTTTTGCAGAGAAAATTAGTAAAAATAGACAACCTGTTAAGTTAGAGCAAACTAACTTAGTATATCACGAAATTAACACTAAGAATGCTAAACCTATTAAAAAACATCCTTACGGTCTAACATATGACAAACAAGAATTTCTTAAGGAAAAAATTCTTGCTATGAAAAACAAGACATTATACAAGAAGCTAAAAGCTTGTGAACTTCACCTGTAGTTTTAGTACTGAAGAAAAATGGTAAGAAGCGAATTTGTATTGATTATAGAAAACTGAATACAGTCACAGAAAAAGACATATACCCCTTACCTAATATTAACGAGATTTTATTAATGTTTAATAGAGCAAAATAGTTTAATAGCTTGAACCTGGCTAGTGGGTACTAGCAGATTGCTGTTAAAGAAGAAGATAAGAAAAAAACAGCTTTTATTACTAAATTCGATATTTACTAATTCAATATAATGCCATTTGGATTATGCAATGTCCCATCAACTTTTCAACGTCTGATGGATCACATTTTTTACCTATTTGTTAATAAATTCATAGTCATATATCTTGATGATATTACGATTTATTCAAGGACATTCAATGAGCATTTAGGATATATTTAACAAGTCCTTGAAAAAATCACAGAAGCGAACCTAAGATTAAATTTGGAAAATATTCATTTTTCTAACATAACATCAAATTTTTAGATTACATGATCAGTCAGGACAGAATTCAACCAGATGAGAAAAAATTAAAAAAATTAAAGAATTTCCTGTCACTGTTACTATAAAACAAATTAGGTTGTTCTTGAGTTTAGTGTCATACTACAGAAAATTTATTAAAGGATTTTTGAAAATAGCTAAGCCATTAAATCAATTATTAAAAAAAGATGAACCATATCATTGGACTGATGATCAGAATAAGGCTTTTCAAAAATTAAAACAACATTTAATGACCACTCCAGTATTAAGATATCCTAACTTTAACCAGCCTTTTTATCTTCATACAGACACCTCCACTTCAGGATTGGGAGCCGTATTAGCACAGTTAGTGCCTGGATCCGGTTTACAAAATCCGGATATATCCGGATATAAAGAGGATAACGGATATTTATTTTGAATAGAGGATTAAAAATCCGGATATTATTTTTCGA